AAAAAAAAAAAAAAAAATCCAGCAGTTTTTCAGTCCACAAGCTGAATGTCTCAGATACTCTTCAGTATATGGCAGAATCCCAGAAAAGTAGGCTCTAACGCCAGTGAAGGAATATACTTGTCAGTAAAAGTAGGAGCAACAGGCAAAGAGAGCAAGCTTCCCTCTTTCATGTCCTTTATATTGGCTACCACCAAAGGGTATGTCCGGATTTAAGATGAATCTTCCCACCCCAAAAGGTCCAGATTTAGGATGGTTTTTCCCTTAATTTTTTTCAATCAGGAAAAAATCCCTCATAGGTATACCCAGTGGCTTAAGTTTTTGGTTCATTTCAGACGTAGTCAACTTGACAACTAAGAATAGCCATCACAGCCTCTTTCTTATCTGGACATTTGTGATTAAATATCATGCCCATGTGCGTGATTCAAGATATCTCATATTAAAGTTGCTAATCACATTTGTAAGCACCCTGTATCCTTATAAGGTAGCATTTGCAGAATCTAACGATTAGCATTTGTAGTCTATTATGTATCCTACTGGAAAGTCTTTAGAACAGCCGGTTCTCAACCTTCCTAATGCTGTGACCCTTTTATAGATTTCCTCACGTTGTAGTAACCCCGGCCATAAAATTATTTTCATTGCCACTTCATAACAGTACTTTTGCTACTGTAAATGAATCATAATGCAAACATCTATGTTTTCTGATGGTCTTAGGTGACCCTTGTGAAAGGGTCATTGGACCCACAAAAGGGTCGAGACCCACAGATTGAGAACTGTTGTTTAGAATGTTTTATTCCCAGCCATGGGTGAGCAGTTTGTCTCTGCCACGTACTTTGACACACTTTCTCACCAGTGAACTGTTTAAATGGCAGGTCTTTGGGGCTTGAGGGGTGGCTCAGCTGTTAAGAGCTCAATGAAAGAGCTAACTCAACTGGCTGCTCTTCCAGAAAACCTGGATTCAGTTCTTGGCACCCACATCTGGAACACCTGGCCTAGGGCACCTGACACCATCTTGTGGCCTTGCTGGGTGCCAGGCAAGCCCTTGGTACACATACATCCATGAAGGCAAAACAGCCATATACATAAAATAAAGTAAAAATTTCAAAATTTTTAATCCAACCCTGTGTTCCAGATTCAAAACTTTGAAATGTGGAGGGCCAAGCTAATCAGCACCCTCATGGGAGCTCCCCGCTGTCTACAGTTCCAGTTCCAGGGGATCCAACATCCTGACATGGACACACGTGCAGGCAAAGCAATCAGTGGACACAAAATAAATAAATAAAGAAGCTTCAATGCACCCTTTGCCTAGGGTTGGGCTTATCTGTGATTTAACCAATGTAAGCAAATCCTAGTTCAAGGCGTAACTGAGAATTATCATTTGACAGTGATGATCAGTTAAGGAACAGGTAGCCCAGCTTCCAGTGGTTCACACACCACCAGCTGATTTCAGAGGTGAAGTAACTGACACGGCCAACCCCACCTTCCTGTGGCGGCTTCACCTTCTCTCTGAAATGTAGGTTAGGATTTCTAGGTGACACAGAGCACCAGGAGACAACTGCTGCCCTTTCTAAAGTGATTTCTTTCAGTTCAGCACCTTAGCTAGACTAACAAGGACGCCACATTAGTGACTGATATTAAAGACATTTTTAATTAATGAATTAAGGAATTAAGTAATTCCTTAAGCATTTGATTGCTAGTGATTTGTAACATGATTTAATAAATTAAATGCTCACGTTCTAGCCCTCTACCGCTAAAACTATTTCTCTAAAAATTTACATCTTATGTACAACTGTGAAGAAATTTCAAAACAGAGTTGTTAATAACCTTTTACTTGGAGGAACTAAATTGTATTTGAATAAATTTTATTGTGTGTAATACACTTATAATAAAAATTACAACGAGTTTGTAACTATAGTATAATATTGCCTTCAACAGCAATGTCAGCAGAGGAAGGCGGAAGTGCACCCCCTGATGGAACGCTCGCATTTACAGCTTTCTCAATATCACTAAAACACACAGAAACCATATTTCCTGCCACCTTTCCATCTTGCTCCCTGGCACTTTGATCTTGTAAAATTTTCAGCTTCTTGAATTTATATTGCTATGACACGACCTGGAAAGGAGAGAGAGAAATCTTTCGCTGTCAATATTGCCGTCTTCTGATTCAATAAGCAACCAGCCAGGCTTTCTAGAATCGAAGATTTAGATAGCAGGGTTTTTTTTTTTTTTATGAGGTTTTTAAACTTCAATTTTAAATACTTCTATTGAAAAAGGAATAGAGGACATGGCCTTTTTTGGTATAATTTTAAAAAATAAATGTTTCTCCCTAACCACTATGTCATCTTGCGGGCTATATCCTCATCTCCATAAACAAGGGTTTGTGAACTTAACTATAATATTAATATTCCATTAATATTCCTGGAGTCAGATGTCTGCCTGCCCACTCTGAGAGATGCCAGTGCATCCCAGAATTACTTCAGTACCAAGTCGGCACCTTCTCTGAGGACGTATGCAGAACACTAAACTGAGTTAGGAAAACACATGACATAAGAGCGTAAATCCACGCCAATTATTTTCTCCTTTTCAAAGACAAGCGAACCGGAACACTAAAGGATTGCATTTTCCTCCCTTAACTTTTGCTGTAAGAACAAACCACACATATTTGTATAAGATCCTTCACAAAAGATGCTCTCAATAAAGAAAGAAAATAACACCAAGCGGTGGTGGTACAATCAGTGGTGACACATTCCTTAAATCCCAGCACTAAGGAGGCAGAGGCAGACAGAGCTCTCTGAGTTCAAGGCCAGCCTGGTTTACAGAGAGAGTTCCAGGACAGTCAGCAATACACAGAGAAACCTTGTTCAAACAATGAAAGAAAATAAGTAAATATTAGTATCTCTGTCCCCCAATCAAGAAACAGGCTACTACCAAGGCCTCCAGAACATTCTCCCTACCCCTGTACCGTAGCTTATTTTGGAAGCATACAAATGTATAGCATTACACTATGCACTCTTCCGTGACTTGATTCTTTCCTTATTATGTTTTAGCCATGTTAGTTTTAC